TCTAGTTCATCCATTTTAGTGGATTGAGGATGCAGTTCTTTTTCCACCTCCTTTTCACCCTCAGAAGAGGATCCCAAGTTGAGAGTCTCACGATCCGAATGCTCGGTCGCTTTCTGTTTCCCTTTGAAGGTCGTCCTCCGGGAAGATTCGGGTTTGTGGCCTTTTTCAGCAATAAGTTGGGCCATCATGTCCTTCAATTGGAGAAGTGTCTCCTGTTGCGCCTGGAGCATGACCTGGTGTTCGTTCACTTTCTTGGCTATGTCCTCAGGATTTCCCGCCATGTAAGCAGATACTTCTTGTGGTCCGACCGAGCTCGAAGATTGAGATTCGGCTATTGCCGAATGCTCATCACTTGTTGTAATTCCTTTGGCCAACTTTTGATAGTCAACCGGGCGAATAGCTCCTGTCCGGGTCCGAGTATGCTTATATACTCCTTCGAACTGATCACAAATTTCCCTAACAGTTGGGGAATTACTTCTTTGTGACTCGTCAGAATCGGAACGTGAGGCTTTTCCTCTACCGATCATGTTGATGGTGACCTCGGGATATTCGATTTCAGAGGTCTTCTTTTTGTGACGACGCTGTCGTTTAGCAGGTCTAGCGACATTCGTCAATCTATTGAACACCGATTGCCTAGGCGCCGGTGAACAACAACTGCATTCAGAGAGGACAGCAGATATGAGCCGCTCACACTGGCATGAATGAGCTACTTGCTGTGTTGGCCTTCCTCTTGACAGCAATTCACGCAAGTCGGAGACCTGGGGAAGATTTTGTGAAGGTGGGGATGGAACCCCCTGCCCTTGGATGGGTTGGGCATGAATCTTAAATCCATGCTGTCCCTTTTGAACCTGACGGACCGTGTCATGCTCTTGATAAGAAACACGAGAGTCGCGTTTAGGTTTATAAACACGAGGCCGAGGCCTGTGTTTGATTGATGGACTAGATCCTTGTGGATCTTGTCCTGGTTGAACGCACATTTGTGGTGTGCGTTTTGATGTTGAAACAGACCCCTGCGGGTCTTGTTTTGGTTGAACGCACACTTGAGGCGTGCGTTTTGAAACAGACCCATGAGGGTCGTTCTTTGTTTGAACGCACTCTTGTGATGTGCGTTTGGTTGTTGAAACAGACCCCTGAGGGTCGTTCTTTGCTGGAACGCACACTTGTGATGTGCGTTTGGTTGATAACCCAGACCCCTGAGAGTCGGGTTTTGATTGAACGCACACTTGTGGCGTGCGTTTGTTTGATGACCCAGACCCCTGAGGGTCGGGTTTTGATTGAACGCACACTTGTGGTGTGCGTTTAGTTATTTGAACAGACCCTTGAGGGTCTTGTTTTGACTGAACGCACGGTTGTGGCGTGCGTTTGAATGATTGAACGTGCCTTTGGAGGTCACGTTTTGGGACGCACTTTTGAGGTGTGCGTCTATGTTGAACAACGCGCCACTGAGGGTCGCGTTTGAGTTGAATAACCCGAGGCTCATAGTCGGGTTCATTGCCACGAAGTGTGCGTTCTGGAGCAGAAACGCACAGTTCGGGCACAGGCTCAGAAACGCAGTCTTTGCGTTGGGCAGTAGCTTGGCTGTTCCGCAAGTATGCTCGCCGTAAGGATCTTCTCCTTCGTCGAGCAGCATTTTTCTTAGCCTGTTTCAAGGCCTTGGCCGCGGCATCGTCGGCGTTGGTTGGGCTTTCCTCCGACATAGGTCTTTTTTGACCTATTATTTGCCGTAGTGATACGGGGGAGGAATCTTCAACTCGCAGAGCGAGTTTAAGGTCTTGGCCAAAGGAGAGGGCTTTCTTTGGCATCTCAGCAGTAGTGTTGACCTCCGTAGAGGTCCTGTGGGTATCACGCCTAGCTTTTGGGCTAAGGGACCCAGAGGAGAGGACCTCCTCATACTTGGCTTGGTCGAACTCTACGACGAGAGTTTCGACGGTGGTTCCTGTGAGGTGAACGTCGGATTGCGCCACCACTTCCTCGTCAGAGAAGCTAGTCCCCAGCAGAGTCGCCATCTTTTGTTGGTAGGAAATTTGATGTAAAAAGACAAAGAAAGAAAATTTGACTTGTATTCTCTCAAAATCGATTACAATTTGGATTCCGATTACAAAAGAGAAGAGAATGGATTTGATTCTCTCCTTTGTTTAAGACTGGGTTCTTCTTGGTAGCGATGGAGTGCTTCCTTCGATTGATCGCGTCGAACTTGCTCTCCGTTGACGATCCGACCGTCCTTCTTCACTGGAATAACTGAAGTGTTTGATGACTTCGGTTTAGAACTCTTGACGAGTGTTGAAGAACTCTGAACGAGTTAAGAACTCTGATAAGAGTTGTTGAAAACCGAATGTCTGGTTTGATGTGATTAACTTGCGTTACAAGCTAATTAAAAACTCTTAACGAGTTTAAGAACTCAGAATGAGTTAAAACTCTAAAACAGAGTTGTTGGAACCGAAAATTCGGTTAATTGCCAAGTGGATGATACCTTTGATGAAAGGATCCTTCGGGATTTGATTAACTGATCGTTGATCAGTTCCTTGATCCCCCGAAGATCTCTTCCTTCCGATTACTCAACTGCCGAGATTTGTTGACCTTGGGTGGTTTTGATACCAGCTCCCCTCAACTCTTTGCGGTTTTGATCTCAGAAAACCGATTGATCAACCTATCAACCCGCCAACCCCTTACTCAGTTGAGTAAGTTGGTTATTTATAGGGTGATGTGGAGTGCAACCAACCCCTATTTCCGCTCCTTTGTGGGCGAGAATCCCTCAGAACGTGGGATAACGGTTTTGAGGCCGTTCGACTTGCGTTTGAACAAGTCAAAACGCCTCAGTTGGCGTTATGGGCTTTAACTCTGCGTCTAAGGCTTGAGATGCAGAGTTAAATCTCTGTTAGAGATTTGAGACACACAGGCCGTGTGCGTTGAAGCTCAACTCTGCGTCCAGAGTTTGGGACACGTAGTTGAACCTATTGAAGAACGCACGTTATGTGTGCGTTTGGTGCTTGAACTCTGCGTTGCAGAGTTAGACATTCGCTGGAGAACGCACAAGTTGTGTGCGTTTCGAATTTGAGAAACGCAGAATTAAACTTCTACGTTTGATAGAGGTTGTTGACTTGTAACCTCGTCTACCATGACATTGCAAAGGCCATTGTTTATTGGTCTTTGCCTGTTATAAGATATGAGAGTCGTCAGATTGTAACTCTCACCAACGATCGTGAAGGCCACTGAATAGGGTTTTCATCAGTTGTCGGAAGCGTCGTCAAATTGTAACTCTTCTCGATCTGTGTGAAAAGTCTCCTATTTGCCCCTTCCGACTGTCGACCCGAAAGCTATTTGATTGTAGCTTTCGTTGTGAGAGCTTGACGGGAATCAACATCCATAGTGTTTTGAAGATGGATATTTGCCCATAGCTCTCTACCAAGCGACTCACCAACTAAGTCCAACCTTTTATTTCTGAAATCATTACACTGCTCATCGGCATCTCTAATAGTTGCTAATATAATATTAGTCATGTTGTTGTCGCAGCCATCAAGATCAATCATCTCAGAGATGAGGCCGTGTTTATAGCGGTTGCAGAGTTGCGGATGCAGTGATTAGAAAGTCGTCTGATTGTAACTTCCATTATCAGGGCTTGATAGGGATTAGCTATTCATTGTGATTTTTAGACAGCCTACAGAGGGGGGTGTCGTTAGGGAAACTAGGGTGAATAACTTAACATCTTAAAATGTTCTCGAACAAGATGAATGGTTCCCCTAACTTCCCTTCTCCCTTATTACCCTCAATCTAAGATATCAAATATACATATATGGCTGAATTGTATAATTTTAAGTTCAAGCTAAATATATATAAATATCCTGATAGCTTCAGTGTCCCAGAAATTAATTTCTGGAGTTCCGATGGTAATGTTTGTAATTAATTTTCATAACTTCTGCTCTCTATTATTCCTCTGTCAGTAGCGCCCACGTTATGTTTAAGAGTCTCCCAACTAATTTTATAAATTTTAACATTTTTAAGGGCGATTGAGGAAGTTTATATTATCCATAATGTTCATCCTCATCTTTCTTTTCTAATCTCGTGCCATAGATCTAACACATCATCTTCCTCTAGATACATCTTTTTTTTATTTTTTTTTTTTTTTGTTCTTTCTAAACCTCAACCGCCATTTGATTGTATTGATCCAATTATCAATCGAACCCTCCCTCTAATGCGTCATATTTCAAAGGGATGCGCTTTCTGCGTGTTCCATGGATGAAAGCTTTGCTTATTAGGTTTCATGGCATCCTCTTGTGAAATAGTCTGATCATTGAATGAAGTTCACCAAGGTTTGCTTTGCTTAAATTAGCCTTTTGCAAATTAAAAAAAGGGAAAAATGTATCAAGGCCCCAAAATAAAAAGGGAAAAAATGTGTAGGCCCCAAAAGCAGAAATTTCATATGACGAGGCCTCTCATAGTTTCTCCCCTATGTGGATCAGCCCTTTGAACTGTGACACTTTGTACTGCAGCTCATTTTTAGCAATTATTACATGCCAGCTAAGTTAAAATTTCAAAATTATCCTTATCCTCTCTCCCCAATCCCTCAGACCCAGCACTCATATCCTCTCTCTCTCTCATCTCCTCTCTCTCTCTCTCTCTCTCTCCTCTCTCTAAAACCAAGGGCTTTCTTAAGCTCGTCGCCCTCGCCCTCCTCGCCGTCGCCGCCTCCGCCCAGGCCCCCAAGGCTCCCCTCGAGTTCGCCGCCGCCTCCCCTTCCCTCCTCCGCCCGTCCTCGTCGTCGTAGATCGTCGCTGGTCCCTCGCCGTAGAAACTATTACGCTGCTTGTAGTACGGTTTTAGACTTAGGTTGCAATTAATTATAATCTTTTTAAGGTGTAAAGCGAATTTAAGTAGCAACTCTAGTTGTAATCAAACTCATGGAAGCCTAAAAAATCTGTTACCCCAAAACAAACATGTACAATATAATTATGAATACAATTTACAAACTAAATCAATCAACTACAACTACAGGAGCACACATCATGGGCAAGAAACGTTGCCACTACATCCACGACCGGCTCTACAACTTCAACAACACCGATAAGCCTGATGAGTGCATGGACCCCTCCCTCGTCGCCGAGCTCAGAAAGACATGCACACCGAACACTACTGGCTCCAGAATCTCTAACGAGACCGTCTATCTCAACCCGACCTCAGGTAGCAGCAACCACTCATTCCAGAGCTCCTACTTCGACCACGTCCTCAAGAACCGCGGTGTCCTCCGCATCGACCAGCAGATGATCACCATAATGGACGGGATTAGGATTGCCAACGAGTTTGCGAACGGGTTTGAGGATTTCAAGAGGTACTTCGCCCTAGGGATGGCGAGGCTGGGGAGTTTGGGGGTGCTTACGGGGAAGTAGGGGGAGATAAGGAACAGTTGTCGGTGGACTAATTTTGGTAAAGTGTTGAAATGAGGGGAGTTAATTGGAAGTTGCTGTTTTGAAAATTTTGGATGAATTCGGTTATTGATGCAAGTGCAGGCCGCCGCCTTCGTAACTGCGTCGTCAGTGGAGCTCAGCTTCCCAACTCACTCTGCGGCTATCACCTCGCCCAAATAAAAAGTCTACAGCTCAAACCATCGGGCGCTGAACTATCTGTGGCGTGTTAGTTCTAACTCGCGACGTGTTAGTTCTAACCCTGAGCATATTAGTTCTAACCTGCGACATGTTAGTTCTAAACTGCGGCGTGTTAGTTCACACATACCGGCGCCGCAGTCGTCGCCATCGCTCTGATGGCGTCGCAGTCATCGCCATCACTCTGATGGCATTGCAGTCATCGCCATCGCTCTGTTTGGTTCTGTGTAACAATAGTAACAGCAATCTGAATATTTTGAGTTCGCAAGTCGCAGTTATTTGTTTCCATTGAATTATTGCGCTGCTTGTAGTACGGTTTCAGACTTAGGTTGAAATTAATTGTAATCTTTTTTAAGGTGTAAAGGGAATTTAAGTAGCAACTCTAGTTGCAATCAAACTCACGGAAGCCTAAAAAATCTGTTACCCCAAAACAAACGTGTACAGTATAATTATGAACACTATTTGCAAACTAAACCAATCAACTACAACTACAGGAGCACACACCATGGGCAAGACACCTTGACACTACATCTACGACCGGCTCTACAACTTCAACAACACCGGCATGCCTGATGAGTGCATGGACCCCTCCCTTATCACCGAGCTCAGAACTAACATGGGGTAAGTTAGAACTAACATGGAGCGGGCTAGAATTAACATAAGAGCCAAAGAGCCTAGAACTAAGATGAATTAGAGCTAGAAATAGCTAGAACTAACATAGAACGTGCTAGAACTAACATGGGACGAGTTAGAACTAACATGGAACGGATTAGAACTAACATGGGACGGGTTAGAACTAACTTGAGAGCCCAAGAGCCTAAAACTAAGATGAATTAGAGCTAGAACTAGCTAGAACTAACATGAAGCTGGCTAGAACTAATATGGGGTGGGTTAGAACTAACTTGAGAGCCAAAAAGCCTAGAATTAAGATGAATTAGAGGTAGAACTAACATGGGACGTGTTAAAACTAACATGGGACGAGTTAGAATTAACATGAGGCAAGTTATAACTAACTTGAGGGCCCAAGAGCCTAGAACTAAGATGAATTAGAGCTAGAACTAACATGGAGCGTGCTAAAACTAACATAGGGCGGGTTAGAACTAATATGGAGCGGGTTAGAACTAACATGAGAGCCTAAGAGCCAAGAATTAAGATGAATTAGAGCTAGAACTAACATATGGTAGGTTAGAATTAACATGGGACGGGTTAGAACTAACATGAGACAAATTAGAACTAACTTGAGGGCCCAAGAGCCTAGAACTAAGATGAATTAGAGCTAGAATTAGCTAGAACTAACATTGAGCGGGCTAGAACTAATATAGGACGGGTTAGAACGAACATGGGGCAAGTTAGAACTAACTTAAGAGCCAAGGAGCATATAATTAAGATGAATTAGAGCTAGAACTAACATGCGGCGGGTTAGAACTAACATGGGGCAAGTTAGAACTAACTTGAGGGCCCAAGAGCCTAGAACTAAGATGAATTAGAGCTAAAACTAGTTAGAACTAACATGGAACATGCTAGAACTAATATGAGACGGGTTAGAACTAACATGGGGCAAGTTAGAACTAACTTGAGAGTCAAAGAGCCTAGAATTAAGATGAATTAGAGCTAGAACTAATATGGGGCTTATTAGAACTAACATGAGACATGTTAGAACTAACATGGGGCGTGTTAGAACTAACATGAGGTAAGTTAGAACTACCTTGAGAGCCCAAGAGCCTAGAATTAAGATGAATTAGAGCTAGAACTAGCTAGAACTAATATGGAGCGGGCTAGAACTAACATAGGGCGGGTTAGAACTAACATGGGGAATGTTAGAACTAACTTAAGAGCCCAAGAGCCTAGAATTAAGATGAATTAGAGCTAGAACTAACATGTGGTGGGTTAGAACTAACATGGGGCGTGTTAGAACTAACATGGGACGGGTTAGAACTAACTTGACAGTCCAAGAGCTTAGAACTAAGATGAATTAGAGCTAGAACTAGCTAGAACTAACATGGAACGGGCTAGAACTAACATGGGGTGGGTTAGAACTAATATGGGACAAGTTAGAACTAACTTGAGAGCCAAAGAGCCTAGAAGTAAGATGAATTAGAGCTAGAACTAATATGGGGCGGGTTAGAACTAACATAGGGCGAGTTAGAACTAACTTGAGAGCTCAAAAGCCTAGAACTAAGATGAATTAGAGCTAGAACTAGCTAGAACTAATATGGAGCGGGCTAGAACTAACATGGGACAAGTTAGAACTAACATGGGGTAAGTTATAACTAACTTGAGAGCCCAATAGCCTAGAACTAAGATGAATTAGAGCTAGAACTAACATGGGGCGGGTTAGAACTAACTTAAGAGCCCAATAGCCTAGAACTAAGATGAATTAGAGCTAGAACTAACATGATTTTGATGGCAAGACACGTTGCCACTACATCCACGACCGGCTCTACAACTTTAACAACACCGACAGGCTTAATGAGTGTATGGACCCCTCCCTCGTCGCCGAGCTCAGAAGTAATATTACTGGAGTTCTGATTTTGATGGCTTTTTTGTAAACACTGCAACATTTAACGAATGAACTCAATGAATTATAAGTAAATCTGTAATTTTATATATTTTCGATAACTTTTAATATATTCTTGTAATATTACTGGAGTTCTGATGACTTTTATATATTTTTCGATGCGTTTTGATCTTTCATGTTATAACGGTGGTCACACCTGCATCATTCTGTTAAAGAACTCCTCCCCCAGGCTGTTTACCATCTTGAGCTCTATCGAGTTGGCAGTCATACTCAAAAACATTCTTTTATTCCATAATTTTGAATTTATTGCCAAATAAACGAAATCGAATGGAGAATCTACTCCAACCAATTCATTACCCAAGAGCCCAAGTCCAAAAGAGAGGAATTCAAAGGTTTAAATGCAAGCTTAAATAATGTTTTGATTAATTACCATCAGAATCAACATCACTTTGTTCTCCTGAATATTGAAAAAGCCAAAAAATCATTTGTTATCGTGAAAGTTGATGCTGGGCATGATTAACATGGGATGTGATATATGTTAGTCTAAGTTGTTGAAGAACTGTAGCTTCTTCTTGGTAAGCATTCGGGTTGATGGCATCCTGACAACGTTGATGGCGAACTCGAGGGTGAGGCAGTTAGTGACAGTAACGAACTCCGGCGTAGTCGAGGTCGAGGTGGAGAGCGGCGGTGAGCAACAGTGAAAAGAGGTAGGATGGAGGAGAGGAGGGAAAGTGGTTGCGAACTCGAGGGTCCAACTCTCAGGCTAGGGCGCGAATCTGGAGACCGACGTCGTCGTGAAGGGCGTAGTCGCGGGCAGGAATGGGGCTTGAGAGCTTAAGAGAGAGAGAGGAGAGAGGAGATGAGAGAGAGATGAGAGAGAGAGAGAGAGAGGAGAGAGAGAAGGGAGATGAGAGAGCGCTTGGGGCCCAGGCGGAGGCGGAGATGGCGAGGAGGACGAGGGCCAGAGCAACGAGCTTGAGAAAGCCTTTGGTTTGAGAGAGAGAGAGAGAGAGAGAGAGAGAGAGAGAGAGAGAGAGAGAGAGAGAGAGCTGGTTTGAGGGATTGAGGAGAGAGGATAAGAATAATTTAGGGATTTTAGCTTAGCTGGCATATAATAATTGCTAAAAAGGGGCTGCAGCACAAACTGTCACACTTCAAGGGGCTGATTCATATGGGAAAAACTATGAGGGACCTCGTCACATGAAGTTTCTGCTTTTGGGGCTCGGACACATTTTTCCCAAATAAAAAAAGCTGTTGTGACTAGGCCCCCACGTATTATTTTTTGGGTGACAAAGCCCCCGACACATAAAATACTTGTATTTCATTCCCTGTTTACCTTTCCTACACACCACAGTGAGAAATTTTTTTCCAAATTCCAAAATTATCCTTAACTCATTACCCAAAAACTGCTAGCTCCCCCTCTCTTTCCTCTCTTCTCAGGCTCAAACCTCATCGAAATTGGGCGGAGGCGGCGACGAGAAGAAGCCGCCGCCGTCGGTGAACGTGTGAAGACAAAGCTCCTCTTCTTGCCACCATTGGTGAATGTCTTGAGAGAAGAGGTGGGCTTGGATGCGAGGGCATAAGCTTTGATCAGGATGATGAACTGCTCATCACAGTGGAGCTTGGATGCGGATGAGGCGGGCATGGTCAAAGATGGAAAGGGAGGTTAGTCAGGTAAATACTTTTTAGGGAAAAATGTTTCAAGACCCCAAAATAAAAAATCTGTTGTGACTAGGCCCCCTGTATTATTTTTTGGGTGACAAAGCCCCCAACACATAAAGCACTTGTGTTTCAGCCCTTGTTTACCTTTCCAACACACTACAGTGAGCAAAATTTCCAAATTCCAAATTTGCCCTTAACTTATTACCCAAAAACTGATAGTCCCACTCTGTCTCTCTCTTTCCTCTCTTCTCAGACTCAAATCTCAGCGAAATTGGGGCGGAGGCGATGACGAGAAGAAGCCGCCATTGTCGATTAATGTGTGAGGAGGAAGCTCCTCTTCTTGCCACCGTCGGTGAACGTCTTGCGAGAAGAGGTGGGCTTGGATGTGAGGGCGTAGGCTTTGATCAGGGTGATGAAGAGCTGCTCGCCACAGCGAAGCTTGGATGAGGTGGGCGTGGTCGAAAATGGAGAGGGAGGTTAGCGGGTCGGGTTGGATGCGGATGAGGCCAGCGATCTTGTTAGGGGTTGGGAAGCGGGGCCAGGGGCTGACTGGGGGAGAGACCGTGTAGCTCGAGAGGAGGGAGGATTTTGAGTTGTTGGAGTTTTTCATGTCATCGGGGGTCGTGCTGAACGATTCGATTCAATGGGTTACTTTCCACAGTGGGTATGTCTTCGGGTATTTGCCTAAGATTCTGACTTGCTAGAGTCAGCCGGATTCGCAAGCTAGGTTCTTTACGCTGATCAAGGTTTATTTCCTAACGATTTATGATATAAAGAATTTGCTGAGGTTCTGCAACAATTTGCATGGAGGGCTTAATAAGCTTGCCGAGTTGCTTGATGTGGAGAGGGTGGGGATTTGCCACCAAGCGGGGAGTGATAGCTTGCTGACTTCTTGCACATTTAGGAAGCTGAAAGAGAGTTTCTTTAATGGAAACACTGAGAAATAAGCTGGCGTTTTGTATGGCCTTGGTGTTGAAAATGGACAGAACACCCATTATGTTTTATGTTTCGGTTTTTGGGAGCTGAAGAGTTTTTTTAAGGCATGTTTGTTTCGTCAAAAAAATGCAGAAAGTGGCCCATCAGAAAACTGATGCAAAGAAAATTTGCTGTTTTTCCTCACAATCAGATGTTTGGTTCGCAAAAAATAAAACATAAAGTGAAGGAAAGAGGGGGCGCCACGTTAGACTTTTCCCTAAAAATTTTTAGCTCCAAAACACCTGATTACAGAGGAAAACCCCACTTTTTCCTCTCCGTAAAAAACGCCAGAATCTCCCCATCTCGTTTTGGTCACCCCCTCTCCCCCTCTCTCCCTCCCGCCCCTCTCCCTACTGTCCAAATCAATCAAGATTTTCCTCCTTCCCCTTCCCTCCGGCTTTCCAATCTAGGGCTCGGCCTCTTCTCCTGTCGCAGCCTCCCCTCCACCCACTCCCTCTTCGGCGTCGGCGTCGATATCACCGTCCTCACCGGCGACGCCCCCCCTCGCCCTTTCAGTTGAACATGTTAACTTTTATCATAATATGTTAACATTCACTGTTACATGTTAACTTTTACCATAATATGTTAACTTTCTTCATAACATGTTAACTTTTAACTGAACATATTAATATTCATCATAACATGTTAACTTTCAACTGGACATGTTAACATTCACCAAATTAAAATTCTTACATTCTTACAGGTGATATTGTTTGAATACACGATATGATTAGACTTACAATCTTAGAACTTTCTGATTCTTACGTTATTACGACTGAAGGGTGTTTGGTCACGAGCACGAATAGAGGGTGCAAGGCCATCGGGAAGTCAGGTGGGGCCCCATAGTGTTGTGCTTAGGGATGTGATGACGAGGGCCCCGGCGGTGAGGTTAGTGCTTATGGTGCAAGGCCATCGGGGAGTCACGTGTCATGTTTCATTGTTACTATGTGTTCTTGTGATTTGGTTGTACTTAGATCAAAATTTAATAAACTGTATTGTGTCTATTTAGTGATCAATTTTGGTGTAATTTATTACGATTGTATGTGAAATGTATTGTGGATATCATGTGAATATGTACAAGTTAATTCAAATAGAACTTGATGTGTATAATAAAGTGAAGATTATATATAAATTGTGTACCAAAACCTGAATATTATGGTACATAATATGTACATAATCTTGAGGTTATTGTGTACATAATATATACAGATTATGTACATAATCTTCAAGTTACGGATACACTGTTAACTTTCTTCATAACATGTTAACTCTCAGCTGAACATGTTAATTTTTATCATAATATGTTAACCTTCACTATTACATGTTAACTTTCACCATTATAATATGTTAACTTTCTTCATAACATGTTAACTTTCAACTGAATATGTTAACGTTTATCATAACATGTTAACTTTCAACTGAACAAGTTAACATTCACCATAATAAAAATTCTTACAGCTGATATTGCTTGAATACACGATATGATTAAACTTACAATCTTAGAGATTACAAAAACCTTCAACAATGTAACTGTTAAAGTTAATATTTACGATTCGTCTATGCTTTGGAATCTTGAGCTTGAGCGCTGCAACTCCAACCACATGAAATATTTTGTTTAAACAATGAGGATGGGAATTAACCAATAATGAAATACAACCTACCAAATGAGAGAAACTGAATGATAGCTATGAAATACACTGTCCAGGATTCGAAGGCCTGAACCTACAAGGGCCAGGATACAAGAAGCTAACTACTTTATTGCTCCATAATATTAATTTTCCATCAGTGACAAAACATCAAACTAAATTGAATTCATAGTGACTGTATGCAAATTGTAGACTATTCTGGCATATGTGATGAAAGAAAAATGATACGGGAAAAAAAAAATCAAAATTTGAGGTTCAATAACAATGCAAACCTCCAAAAGTCCCAAAATTATTGCAAAAGAAATACTAATATAAACCCATTAAATACATGAAAAGATCAAAACATAATTCGGTCAAACAACATAAGCTCCAAAACCAAAACCCTAACTGATGAAAACCGCACACGATTCAAAACCTATGTCAGATTCCACCCAATGAGACTCCAAATGAACTCCATTGCATCTCCAATCGAACTTAAACGGATCAAAAGAGAGCAAGAAAAAAGGCCCAAACGACATCCACATGCTGCTCAATGTCGTCCATCCTCTACCCCTACGCCTCCACCATCACGGCCATGTCGAGGAACACATGGTGCAGCTCCAGCAAGCTCCTCTCAACCTCCTTCGCGGCGGCGTGCCTGCCCTGCATCTCGGCCACCGCCTCCATCACCCTCCCCCCTTCTGTCACCGCCCTTCTTCTTCTTTCAAGAGGCGACGGCTAGCGGCTGGCGGGCTGGCGGCGTTGGTGTCTCCTCTTTGACTCTTACAAGAGAAGAGAGAGGGGAGAGGAGGAGAGAAGAAGAGGAGAAATATCAGTTAGGGGAGAGGAGGAGGAGAAAGACAAAGAGGAGGAGGAGAAGAAGAAGAAGAAAATGGGAAGGGGTATTTTCGGAATCTCTTGGGATGAATTCCTAGAAGAGTGTGAAAAGGGGGCTGAACACAATTTTTTGTGTTTTTGGGGTTAAAGAGTAAGGGGAAAACATTGGGGGGCTAGGTCACATCCTCTTTATTTTTTGGGGGCCTAGATACATTTTTCCCAAAAGAAAAAAAAGGAATTTAAATGAGTTTCTAATTGTACTTGGGCAAAACTCAATAAAACAAATTAGATCAGGCATTTGAATGTTGGAAGCCTGGGCGTAACGAACTAGCAAAGTCACGGGCACAATCGGGCGTGGGGATTGAGAGAGACGAAACAAATTTCACTGGAAGATGATGGGTAAATTCCTACTAAGCAAAAAAATAAATAATTATTATTTTCGGAGCACCAAAACTAGCCTCATAGTGCTCTTGGCTTTTCGGTGCAGATAGCAATAAGTGGGTTTTTAAAATTTTATTTTAACGCAATTACAGGATCTTGCAATTGTAATATTTTCGGCGTAGCTGACAAGCTTACATTACATATAAAACTCTCAATGGTCAGAAGCTTAAAAGAAACATTGACCAACACTTTAATAACTAGTAAGAATATCGCTGGACAGCCTGGATCAAATAAGAATACCGTGACAATATTTGCCACAACCCCAAGCCAAACACATTGCAGTACTGTAAAAACATACCGCAGCCATTAAACAGCACGAGTTGCAAAAGTTTATACACTTACACCTTTCATTAATAATATTTATCGGATTATGAATACAGCACAACATCGATATGAACCTCGAGGCACGAGGAACACTTTAAAAATACAGGTCTAACAAGTTCCCTCCTATTTCAACAACCATTTACATGCATCGCTTTAAACTTTTAACTTGTATAGGAGCCTCATGTTCCTGAAGATGTCAAGCAGTGAAAATAGTTAGCAGAAACAGTTACTCCCAGTGAACTTAAGCCTACCATTGTGCAACTTGCATAGAATACAAATCTTAAGAGCACAATCATAGTGAAATAATCAGCTTCAACATATGCAAGAGAACAGTCACAATGACATGGAAGGTCAAATCTCTGGAAGATAGGAGCCAAGAAAATGGTATATATACAAGAAGTATCAAAGGATTGACCAGGGTACCAAACTTGAGAAGAAAGCACCACCTTGATTCCTATGGTCAATGAAGATACGGCGAAGGTTATGTGTTATTTTCTACTGAGGGTGTCCTCTACAAAATGGAGATTAATTAAGGCACAAATCGTTAGGGAAGGGGGGATGAACAAGAAATTTTTAAGTTAGGAATCACGACTCTCCCCTTCCCATCGTTCTATGTTAGGAGATCAAGAACTGCTTCACCTGCAAGACAAAGTAACGAGTAACATCAGCAATCTCATGATAGTGTCCTTGATTAGTAATGACATAAAGGAAAACAATGATTAATTAATGACATATCATATTAAATGTGTAAACATTAGAACAGTGGAGATATCCTCTGCAACTGGAGGGCTCCGACGAAGCTTATTCTCAATTCTCAATTATGTAAAGCTTTAGATGATCTACTGCAAATGTCAGAATATATCAACCATCAATGTCTAATTGCTAACAAGATATAGCAAGGTAGCAATTTATGGTCTTTCTTTTTGGATTTTAGTATGTCCCTAGATTTTTCAGTATGTTTTTTTCCTTGTCTTATTATTTCCCATGTGTCCTCACATTTTTAACCTAATGTAAAGATTATCCTACAAGAGAGTACTTAATGTCAATGAAACTACAGGAATAAGTAACTGCTATCTTTAGCTAAACACTTACTGCTCATTCTGCTCCTCCTTTCAACAAAAGAAGGGTAAATTTCAAAAAAGCCCCCACTACTTTGAGGTGTATCCAGGAAACTCTTGTTTTCCAACTAAACACCAGAAAATTTTCCTTCATAACTCACAAACTGACGAAAATGCCCCTCAAGCCAAAAAAAACACTTTTTCACTTTTTTTATTTTATTTTATTTTTATTTTTATTTTTTTCTTTGCAAAACAAATTTTTTGTCCTACCCTACCTATCACCGGTGACAAATTGAAGAGTTTGTGAGGGTTTGTTTGCAAACAAAAAATAAAATAAAAAATAAAAAAAAGGATTGTTGGCCTGAGGGGCATTTTCATCACTATTGGGGTCATGTAGAAAAGTTTTGGTGTCTAGTGTGAAAACTAAGTGTCAGGGATTTTGTGGTAAACGCCCCAAAGTACTAGGGGGTTTGTGAAATCTAACTAGGGGATTTGTGAAATCTACACAAAAGAAAGCTACCCTTAACAACTCAGATTATGACATCCCTCTCAACTTAAGTTTCTTTGCTGTCTCACGATGCAAGGTTAAGAACTTGCAACCCAGTCTTTTCAAAGAATAGAAGAATTTCATCATAAAAACTCTAGGTGAATGAAGTTGCATCTCTATGATTAAATATCCATACCAGCTTTTGTGCCTCATTGAGCACAACTTAGCCTTAGAAACAGAATTTCATGTCTTTTGAATTATGACCAAGTCAAGGAATTCGTTTCGTTCAAACTAGAAATCTTAAATTACTAGATGAAAACAAACATTTTGGATTTTTGATGATTAAAAAAATATAGAAATATAAAATTACTACTAAAAGAAGGAAAATTTCTTGATACATACCATGCATTCTCTTGACAAAGCGCTCAAATTCCAAGAAGTTGTGTCTTTCCATAAGAACTGGACTAAGCCTCAGGTAGGTGAATGCAGATAGGTGTCTTCCGTCAGGATCATTTAGTGGTTTTGCTTCTTCCAGAATTTTGTTATACCAACCTCTTTCATAACAAGGAAAGGCATTCTCGCTAACTACAGGTATAGAGACATCCCATGCAGCATTCAACACCTGAAGATGGGATTATGACTTGCAACATTTTGAATGGTGTTCATTCTACTGCAAATAAATTATCTTAATAACTTCAACATATGAAAAGCATGCCTCCCAAGCTATGAGCATGCATGCACATATTAAATAGAGAAAAAGAGAGTACCCACGCAACAAAGCTTAGAAGCCAATGAAAAGATACAGCTGATCAGAGAAAGGGTTCTGTTAGAGAGAGAGAGCCTTTGAGCTCAAATAAGAATGTCTCCATATTTATTTATCTTCCAAGACTAGGAGAGGTTTCACTAGGTAAATATGACTCCTTTTTTCCCCCTTGTTAGATGTCTGAATCCATATAAAACTGAGTAGGCCAGAAAGAAAGTTGCCCTAAGCCTAAAGATTAAAGATATATATCCTAGAGAAACTTGCATCCTAAAAGATGAATTAGGTAAAGCTCCACATTATTAAGTGCAGACCATGACCCCCCTAATTGTTGGGACAAACCTTGGGCCTAATAGAGCAGAATCACAGCAATAGTAGAGCAAAAGTAGAAATAAAAGGTTGGACACACAGATTTACGTGGTTCGGCACTTGATTGCCTACGTCCACGGGCAAGGATAGAAGAATCTACTATGAGAAGAAAACTCTGGAGTTACAATCTCTTTATAAGGAGATACTCTCTCTATTTTTCTCTCACTCTTCTATAAGAGAAGTTGTTTCTGGGATGAGTTTTTCCTTAAGGATTTGGAGCCTATTTATAGGGTTTGGAAAAACACTATGCACAATAAAATATTAATATTTTACTATGCTGTGAGACCCGCCATTTTTGTTTTTTTTTTTCCTCTTCAAACTTTGCTACTGCTTCTTTCGGTGATTTGAAGTGAGGTGGGGCCCGCTCCAATTAATTGTCAATATTTGAGGCTGAGGCTGCATGCTGACAATCTCCCACTTTAAGGTTTGATTGAGTATCAATCATATCTTCACACTATTCTTTCTATCTTGCCATCTTCATGTTGCTTTACGTCTCCGTCAGGCCACAAGAGGATCTACACCAAATAAATTTATCAGTATGGACTGCTTTTGTTAAAAAAATCAGCTAGGTTATCTTTGGTGTGTATTTTTTGCATATCCACTGTTCCTTCTTCCACTTTCTCACGAACGAAGTGATATTGAACTCGAATGTGTTTGGTCTTTGAATGAAAGGCTGGATTTCTTGCCAAATGCAAAGCACTCTGACTGTCACAAAATAAAGAAATATTCTTTTGTTCATAGCCGAGTTCCTCCAGCACCATCTTCAACCACATCTCTTCTTTACTGGCTTGTGTAGCTGCTACATACTCTGCTTCTGTTGTTGAAGTAGCCACAACTGACTGCAGTTTTGAAACCCAGCTTACAGCTCCGCCAGCAAGTGCAAACACATAGCCTGTGGTGAATTTGCTATTATCACGATCACCTGCATAATCAGAATCAACATATCCACTGACAATAAAATCAGATCCCTCATAACATAAATGCAACATTTGAGGTTCCCTGAATGTATCTTAGAACCCTCTTTACAGCATTCTAATGCTCTTTACCAAGATTCGTCATGTATCGACTAACCACTCCCACTGCTTGTGCAATGTCTGGTCTTGTACAAATCATCGCGAACATTAAACTTCCCACGACTGATGCATACGGTACTCGGGACATCTCCATCCTCTCTTCTTCACTGCTAGGACTCATACTAGAGGATAACTTGAAATTAACAGGAAGTGGGATAGAAATTGACTTACAATCTTCTATGTTAAAGCGTCGCAAGATTTTGTTCAAGTAATTCTTCTGAGAAAGCCAAATCTTCCTACTAATTCTGTCTCGGTAAATTTGCATCCCTAGAATCTTGTTTGCAGATCCTAAATCCTTCATTTCAAATTCCCTAGCTAACTGAGCCTTTAATTCTTTGATACGATCTTTGTTGGGGCCTGCAACCAACATGTCATCAACATACAATAATAAAATAACAAATGTATTTTTATCAAACCTCTTGAAATAGGCACAAGGGTCTGAATTAAGTCTGTTGTATCCAAGGCTCATGATGAATGAATCAAATCTCTTATACCAATACATCGGCGCCTGTTTTAGACCGTACAGAGATTTGTTCAATCTGCAAACCAAGTTCTCTTTTTCTTTTTCTTCAAAACCTTCTGGTTGGAGCATGTAAATTTCTTCTTCAAGATCTCTATGAAAAAATGTTTTTTTCACATCTAGCTGCTCTAAATGTAAGTCAAATCTAGCGCTCATAGCCAGGACTATTCGGACTGTTGTTAGTCGCACTACAGGAGAAAATATTTCATTAAAATCAATACGTTCTTTTTGAGCATATCATTTTACCACCAATCTAGCACGATATCGCTCCACTTGATCATCGCCATTTCGCTTGATCTTGTAGACCCATTTGTTTCCAATGGTCTTTCTTCCTTGTGACAGTGACACAAGTTCCCAAGTCTTGTTCTTATGGAAAGCTTCAATTTCTTCCTGCATTGCTGCCATCCACAAAGATGCATCTGCGCCATTTATAGCTTCATGAAAAGTTGATGGCTCTCCATCTTCTGTTAGAAGACAGTATATAACATTACTCTCCGTAATATACTCCGAATGCCAAGTCGGTGGTCTTCTCTCACGAGTTGACCTTCGAATTTCTGGAGCCTCGGACTCGACCGGTTCTTGTACATCATGCTTCGGTGTTGCTTTAGAAGAATTCAGATTATCTTCTACCTGAATAGCTACAGCCTCTGAGTCCTTCCTCGAACTGCTTTCTTTCTCTTCACTTTGTAGTTGGTTCTCTACAAAGATAACATCTCTGCTGATGATAACCTTGCAGGCAGTGGGATCCCACAGGCGATACATCTTTACTCCATCAGCATACCCCAAGAATATGCATTTTCTGGATTTTGAATCCAACCTTGTAATTTCTTGGGCATTGTACATTACGTACACTGGACTTCCAAATATATGGAGGTTGGAATAGTCAGCTGGTTTGTCAGTCCACATCTCCATCGACGTCTTCAATTGTATTGTAGTTAATGGAGATCGATTTATCACATAACAGGCGGTTTTTACTGCTTCCGCCCAAAAGACTTTTTCCAGATTTGCAGTAGCCAACATAGTTCTTGTTCTTTCCAACAGAGTTCTGTTCATTCGCTCCGCCACTCCATTTTGTTAAGGAGTATAAGCCGTACTGAATTGTCTTTTGATACCTTCTTGCTTGTAGAATGCTAGGAATTCACCGTCTGTGTATTCTCCTCCATTATCTGACCTCAAACACTTGATCTTTTTCTCAGATTCAAGCTCAACCCGCGCTTTGTAGGCTTTAAAGACTGAGAACACATCCGCCTTCTTCTTGATAGGATACACCCAACATCTCCTGAAGTAATCATCAATAAAGGACACAAAGTACTTTGCTCCTCCCAAGGATATAACTGGTGCTTGCCATACATCAGAATGAACCAGTTCCAGAATAGCCTTGCTTCTAGAACTCGATGTGTTGAACTTCAGTCGATGTTGCTTGCTTGTAACACAATGCTCGCAGAATGGAAGAGCTACTGAATTAAGACCAGGAAGCAGCTTCTGATCGGAGAGAACCTTCAAGCCTCGTTCTGACATGTGGCCTAGCTTGCGATGCTACATCATGGTTTGTTCTTCTCCAAAGCTGGTTGATGCCACACATGAATCAGCTTCCTGCAGGGTTTCTCCCGTGAGTATGTATAGATTTGCAGCTATCTTCTCTCCTTTTATCACCACAAGTGCCCCTCTAACAATCTTCATGATCCCATTTTCGATATGGGTCTTACACCCGAGCTCATCTAATTGTCCCAAAGACAATAGATTCTTCTTCAAGTCATTCACATGTCGCACATCTTGAATGGTGCGTATTATACCATCAAACATTTTAATTTTGATAGTACCAATACCACAAATCTCCAAGGCATGATTATTCCCCATGAATACATATCCTCCTGAGATAGGTTCATATTTGTGAAACCATTCTCTCCGAGAGATCATGTGCCAAGAGGCTGCTGAATCTAGAAGCCAGACATCAGCAAACTTCTTTCTGCCTTCATCAACAGTGGTTGCTCCACTGAATAAAATTTCACCATCATCTGACGTGCTGACAACGCATCCTTGAGATGTTGATGGCTCTGAAGACTTTTTATCTCCATTCTTATTGTGCCAACACTCCGATTTGACGTGTCCTCTTTTGCCACAGTTGTAGCATTTGACATTCATCTTACTTCGTGATTTCGATCTACCATGGGCATGACTCCCACTGGAGCCTCGTTCCGTTGATCTTCCTCTTATCACCGACAAGGCATCCGTTTGCTGCGAACTTGCCCACCTGTCTTCCTTGTTCTTTTTTCTTCCTCCAGAACAGCGGCTGCAACGTCGTCGAAAACTAGATAGTCCGTGAGGACGTTGTTTGTCAGGTTGATGATGAGTTGATCATACGAGTTAGGTAGACTCTGAAGTAGAAGTTCTGCACGTTCATTCGCACCAACTGTATACCCCAACGTTGTGAGTTGGGAGAACAGTGTGTTTAGGGTGTTGATGTGGTCGGTCATCGATGTAGATTCCGCCATCCTCAGAGTGTAAAGTCTCCTTTTTAAGAAGATTTTGTTGTGTATGGATTCCACCAACTGTAATTGTCAGCATGCAGCCTCAGCCTCAAATGTTGACAATTAATTGGAGTGGCCCCACCTCACTTTAAATCACCGAAAGAAGCAGCAGCAAAGTTTGAAGAGGAAAAAGAAAACAAAAATGGCGGGTCCCATAGCATAGTAAAATATTAATATTTTATTATGCATAGTATTTTTCCAAACCCTATAAATAAGCTCCAAATCCTTAAGGAAAAACTCATCCCAGAAACAACTTCTCTTATAGAAGAGTGAGAGAAAAATAGAGAGAGTATCTCCTTGTAAAGAGAGATTGTAACTCCAGAGTTTTCTTCTCATAGTAGATTCTTCTATCCTTGCCCGTGGACGTAGGCAATCAAGTGCCGAACCACGTAAATTTGTGTGTCCAACCTTTTATCTCTACTTTTGCTCTACTATTGCTGTGATTCTGCTCTATTAGGCCCAGGATTTGTCCCAACAAGTGGTATCAGAGCTAACTTAGGGTACTTGTATATATCTACTTATTGTATGCTCTGTAGCTACCACCAAAGGTGGATTCTCCACATCAGAAAATAAGTTAGGTTATCATTTACCCTTTGGAGGTGACGGTACTATTCACGAGTACGATATTGTTCATAAATACAGTACTATTCACAAGTACGGTACTATTCACGGATACGGTTACTGTTCATGAATATAGTTATTATTTACGTGAAATAGTAAGAAGTTACTGTTCGTGGTAGAAGCAATGACGGCAAGTTCAAGATTGAGAAATTTGATGCGAGTAATTTCTCACTGTGGAAGTTGAAGATAAAGACTATCTTGAGAAAAGATAATTGCATGGCGGCCATCGGTGTAAGGCCGGACGACATCACAGATGATAAGAAGTGGAACGAGATGGACGAAAATGCTATTGCAAATCTCCATCTGGCATTAGCAGACAGAGTATTGTCAAGCATAGAGGAGAAGAAGACAACAAAGGAGATATGGGATACTCTAACAAAGCTATATGAGGCGAAATCCATGCACAACACTAATTTCTTTTACTGCGACAGCTTCTGATCCTCACTAGAATAAAGTTTTATTTGAAATTGGACATTCATTTGCGCTGGAATTACCTGCCAACGAAGACCCTCTGGATCTGCTAGTGCCTCTGGTAAGTCCTGCTTCTGATTTATAGTGTGTAACTCACTATACGTGAAATTTAACATCACACCATGCTTCTTTAACACTGATGCGATTGACGCATAGCCATCCCTGTTGCAGGGGTTATAAAATCCAGCAGTCAATTCAGCAGCATGGCTTGCTGTTTTATACCACCAATGAACTCCTGATATCTGTTTCAAGAAGAAATTGTCCTTGTATTAAGAGCATAAACAGGTATTCTTGTGCTTATTGCAGTTCAGCAGACAGACAGAGAGAGAGAGAGAGAGAGAGAGAGAGAGAGAGAGAGCAGAAAAAACCCCATTAACTTTAGACAATTTCCATATAATGATATAACCCTCATAACTTTCAAAATATCAGACCCCCTCCCCCTCCCCTCTCTTTTAAGTTAGGGTTTATTAGGAAAATTCCCCTTAACTTCAAGATTTTATCAGAAACCCATGTGAAAGTTATCTGAAACCAAATTTTCACTACGTAAATTTACCCACCCATGTGGAAATTGCAGTTAACGCTGTTTGGGGGGTTTTCAGATGTAATCTTAAAGTTAAAGAGGGTTTTCTCATACCGCCTTAACTTTTTTTTTTTTTTTGTGTGTGTGGTGGTGGTGGTGGTGGGGGGGGGGGGGGTAGTATTTTCAAAGTTATGGAGGGTTATCCAATAATCGTCGAAACTCAACGGGGGTTTTCTGATATTTAGTGAAAAAAGGAAATTATTTGGAAGTGACAACATGGAGAGCATATGCAGAAAGAATGAACCAAAATATGTTTACGAAAGGGTTCTGCAAAATTTTGCATTTTGCAAGGAAAGGGGCATGTTGAGAATGTCGGCATATCTAATTTTAAGAATATAAAAATAGGATGTCACTTTTGCTAAGCCTGTGCTGCTGTGGTTGCTATAGAGTATGGACATACTTACATCATATAATAACTTCATAGAAAATTGTCTCCATTAAAAACATTGAAGTGCATGATTATTTAGAATAAAATGGCTTCTCAGCACTTCTGAATTGCCGATAGTGGGAGCCAATAGAATAGCCCAGTTATTATCAGGAACATCATCCAAGCTTGTCTACCAAAATGGGGCTACCCACGGAACACAACTCAAAGCTTAAAAGACATGCCAAGCGATATTAATCCAAATAGTTGGTGTCATATCCCTGACAAGGCAACCTCAGGCAACCATTCAAAAAGAAAACTCAGCATTGTTAGCTAGGTATGATAACTAGGTCATGCAGTTTAAGCTCATGCAATCTAGGCAAACGTCCAAAGTCCACTGGATGGGATGAGATGAGATGGCGGGGAAAAGTAATAATATCAGCCATAAGGAATTACATCCATCCACAGGAACAAAATATAATACATATACTGAATATACTAAGGCCAGAAATGAGGCAAAGAGCCAAAAAGTAACATTCCAGACCCTTCAATGTTTCATGCAAGTTCAACACGTAAAGCATGCACAGGAACAAAATATAATACATATACTGACCTTTGCAGAAATACATGTGTCTTCAAAAGCCAGTTTAGCCAGAGATAGTACACGATCCGCGTGATCAACCAACTCCTGAGAATACCAAGCAAGGAAGAATCTACCATAATAACTATCGTACTCCCCTCCGTCACAGAAAAAACCAGTTTCGCGTGGCTGAGAATTATACGAGCTGCGTTATCTGTGCGCCCTTGTGCCAGAAAGAGTGTCCCTTGCTTCTGCGGCAGTTCCTCAGACTTTTCATGAGGAACTGATCATAACACTATAAAAACAACATCTTTCTGTGAGCGAGAAGTTGCAAGAAGGAGCAATTAATACCCGATAAGATGGTAAAGACAAACCATGAAAATAACCAAGAATCAAGCTCCAGGTAGTCAGTGACTGTAAAGGGCATCTTTTTAGAGTACAAAAGTAGGATCTAAATTTCCAAAGGTAGCGAATGTAAATTGATAACTAACAAAATCCATAACAATCTACAACTATGTTTCGCATGCAATGATCAAACAACTCGGCATATTTACCAAAAAATATGCATTGACAAGGAGGCCATCATTCCTTACCGAATGCATGGATGTTGATCGATGCGTCAACAGATACAAAGAAACATGTATCAACTACATAAATATCTTCTTTTAGCATCTTAGACTAAAAGTACATGCTGATAGTGATTCTGTCAGTTGCCTGAAATACATACATGCAAAAATGATTGCCAAAACATCTCATGGTAACTTTCCTCATAAGAAGATAGTTGAAGCAACAAATAATGTACACAATACAAGGAAAAAAATATTGATACTGTACTCATTATGTGACACTTGGAATCAATTTTTAAATAAGATAGTACAAGAAACAATATGTGCAAATTATACATGGAAGTATGGACAGTGTACACACTGTATGACATGGCAGATAAATCATATAGAATATGTACACCCTCACATCTGGCAAGCACATAAAAATCATAAATAAAACGAAAACATTAGTGAAGGTGAAACCATTAGGATATAACCTTACCTGAAACTCCCCAACTCCAGGATATCTCCAACCATGCTTGACTGGATAAGAAGGATAACGCAGTTCTCCACATGGCCCTAATCCCACTTCAATCTTAGAGATAATTCCATCTTCGAAATACTCATCAAATTCTATTCGGAAGCTTCTCATATAATCAAAGTAAACCTACATGGGATTGAATATAAGCAATGTGAAGCCATTTACAATTAAATAACTACAAAATTTAAATAAAACTTCAACTTAAAGCATCCTCCTAACACATTTCAGAATAAACTATAGATAATTACAAGCCTAAGACAATCCTAGGAAGGGTGTTAGAAAGATCTACTCAGTACTCAAAGCCTGAAATATTGGAAAGTGGGGGTCTGTATGAAAAAGCAGTATGACTGTTATGAGAAGCATTATCAAATAGTAACATAAGAAGACTTTTTATATCTGCTGCAGAAGGGGAAAAAAGTTAAACAGAGATCTAGAAAGCTTTGTTTCATGTTCTTCTTCGAGATCTCTATTAAAATGTAAATAATTAAATGTTAGAATTATCAAACAGATGTATGTTCCAAGAGATTTCATTTGCTGACTAAGTTGTTCCAGAGTCTAACAAAAGGAATAAAGCAACATACTACAAAATGATAGACAACCAGAGCATCAAAATCATAATTATATAAGTTGGGATTGCTATGGGGATCCTTCTTTTCCTCATTGCAGTTATTAAAATCGTAAATTTTTTTTTGTTAAAATAGCAAACATTATATACTTTTAGTTGGCCTTAATCCATGTTTAGGAAATGTAACTAAAAGCAATTGAGAGACATTCACATGGTATAACTGTTTCCAAGTGCCTATTAAAAATATAGACTACTTATACTTTGATGAATTAAAAAAAAAACAAATATACATACCTCGATTGCAGTCCGACCTCTTAAGATTCTTTCCTTGTCAATTCCAAATGATAGGCATTCGGGATTCCGCCTTCCTTCTTTATCTGTGAAATAAATTTCTGGATTGCTTCTACCAATTTCTGCTACCCAATGAGGCAACGGAATACAAACATCATCACCGATATTCCCACCACATTCATGAAACGACATGACCACCTTGATTTTGTAAATACAGAATTTCACTGATCAAAGCTAGTTGAAAGACTCGAAATTTAATTTAGCTGTAAAGAAAAGTGCAGTATATTTGAATAATGCAGCATATTTGAATAACATGAGGCACTAACTGTCAAATGAATCTAATGACCATGTCAGTATTTCAAAAAATTGTAAAGAACTTCAAATAACACACAAAGAAAACATGACAAAGATCATCTTTTCAATACACTGAATAAAAAGAAAGACTTTTGAAAATCCGAAAAGATCTGTGTAGAAAATGTCCCTAATGGAAATATTTTTCTATTTTAAATCACAAGAGATACCTTCTTCTCTGATAAATATATTAGGACAACATTAACGTATGTCTGACATTGCATCTGTTTCTCCTAGATAAAGAATAAGATCCACAAAATCATGCTAAAACCATCCTGGAAAAATTCTTCAACAGGCCATTAATAAGCCAATTAAACTGTATTTGAAAATGATGAAAATTTAATGGGTTTTCTTAGAGACAAAGAAGATGACATATTTTAATTGTTTTCCCTTTGTTCTTTGCAGTTTATTTTCATTAAGAGCTATATAGCCACTGCCTACATCCTGGGACATACAGTAATATGTAATAAGCTACGTTGCATGGGTACAGGTGCAGGACCTGGAAAATTTGTAAAAGGGTAAGGTTGGGGATATATACACATAATAAAATTAATAATTTACATGAGATCGATACTGTTTTTTCATTCACATGTTACATGAGCTAAAAATCCTATTACATCATTATGTTAAAAATACAAATTGAAACCCTCCTTGTTCTTGAAGTACATATCTACCCGGCCATTTAAAATTATACTTCTAAACTAGGTATAGTCTTGAAATGAACCCAACATGTGTGCAGCGAGTTGCAGTAAATGCTAAGTGAAAGATATACGTCAAAGAAGTGTATGATGAGTATTTTAAACTAAAACATGTGTTACATAGTTGCATACATGTATGAACAAAATGTATGCATATATTCAAGGAGTGTTCGGGTACAAGTGTGGAAATGCCGGACAAGCACAGATGAGTTGAGATACTAGGTAATAAGAAATAAAAATCCAAGGTCTGAGTTCTTGGGATTATGGATATAGCGTTAGGAGGTTCTTCTAAAATTCAGGATATTTTCTCCCGTTATCACATCCCAAAGCAGATTTGTATAATTTTTATCTATTTTTCGCCACAAGTTCTTTGGATGTTTACCGTCACAAAGTATAGGGGTCTGCTAAATGAGACACAGCTGAAGAGTACATGCAACCCAAAGCAAGAAGTTGAGCTACTTAAAAAAGTAATTTTAGGTAGAATATAAACAATATCACCTGTCGATGTGGATTACAATTATGCTGTTTGGTTTGGATAAAAAAACATCCTGCTAAAAAATAAAAGGTATTTCATTCATCCCAAAATCCCTTGAGAAAACACTATTACACTCACATGCATACATAAATACACGTATTATATATATAGTAACAATGAATTTAGTACGCAACGTGATTTCAGATTTCACAATTAACAGCTGTAGAAGAACCTATGCAAGTCATAAACCTCCAGATGTTGTTGCCTTTTCCATTTAAAACTAATCGATCAAGATCAAGAAGAATGGCAAGTAACATCTAAGAAGGGTCTACCAAGTAATAAAATTTTCACAGGAACGAACTCACCTGCAATTTAAGCCTCAAATCCCGCACAATATGGAAGAGCCTCTTATACCCATGCCAGTTATACTCTTGTGGGGCACGTCCCTCCACTATCCCCCACCAACAATCAACCATCACACCATCCACATCGATGGATTTCAGTGTTCTTAGTTGCTTCATCAGCCCTTCCGGATCCACCAGCTCACACTTCATGTTAATGACACCTAGCTGTCATAATAAAGACATTAATTGCTCTGCAAGTCTATCACATAAGTAAATAAAAAGGGATCCTATAAAGACTCACTGGCAGCATGACATAAACAGGAACATAAGGAGTGCCAGCAAAATCGCGCTCTGAAATTCTCCCATGTACATCCATCACCTGAAAAACAAGGAATATGAGAAGAACAAAAAAGGCACAAAATAGTTCTCTAGAGGGTTCTCTATAGAAAACCCTATAGAGGATCTTGACACGCGTTTTAATCTGGAAATCCACAACCGACACATGTCCTAGCAGAAACAATGAAGTTGGAGGGTCATTAACAACCAACTTTAGGATTTGTGTTGGGGGCCCCACCCAACAAAAAGAAAAATAAAAAGGATATGATAATGGTTAATATAATGGAGGAGATGGCCAAAAATTGAACGAAATGGAAAAATAGGATTCATGTAACCGATCCCAATCATTTGGGATAAAGGCTTTGTTGTTGTTGTTACCCTACATTATTCCAAAAAAAGGCGATGTGAATGATGGGACATAGAAATGCGGTCACCTGCTTTTCACCAGAGGAATTCATGCCATTGTCACTGCCGGACTGATACCGTCCATCGTAAGAGGTTATAGTAGGAGGAGTGTACACTGTTTTGAGCCGACAAAGACCACTGCCAGAGGAGGAGGAAGAGATTGCCCGTAATGGAGGTGTCTGAGCTGGTGTTATTGATGGCAATGCTGATACAGGAGAAGATACTGATGCTCTTCCTGCCTGTAGCAAAGTAACCCACATTAGAGATAACAGAGGTTATTTAACAGTTCAAGATTACAAGCTTATAACCAGTCATAAGGAAAAAAGGAAACCCAAAAGTTCATCACGGGATGGCAACAAAAGTATGGCAATGACTCCATTGATTTAATAACCGACTACAGTGCATAACAATTGTAGAAATGTTGCTCCAAGCTTGAGGACATGAGAGCATAAACACTGCTCACAAAGTCATCCTAGCTACATTCACACTTTATGGTTGAGTAGTAAATAGTCGAGATACCTTGATCAAGTTTTGAACATGATATATTAAATTTAACTCTTTAGAATTTCTTTATTTCTTTAATGGCTTGTTTGGATTGAGGGGAAGAAGGGAGAAGGGAAGTTACGGGAACCATTCACCTTGTTTGGGAACATTTAGGAGGTGAAGTTATTCACCCTAGTTCCCTTTAGTTCACCCCTTAGTAGTATAAAATTTGTTACCCCCCAAATTGGGGTGTAACCAAGGGGAAGGGAACTCCCTTCCCTTCCCTTCTCTCACCTAGTTTCCCTTAACTTGCCTTAACCCCATTGAAATCCAAACACGTCCTAAGAGAAGACCAGCCCGTACCAAATATAGATCCTAGACCTATGCTCATCTATTTGTTTCGAAGTTATTTTTTGTCAATTGTAGTTTCAATAGTTAATTGTTGAAAACAATTCTGTTATGCAACTCTTAATTATGTGTTATGCAACCTGACACACCTTAAACGTTACATAGCATTTTCAAATAACTCAACACATCACACCTCTACACTACTACAATATAACATATGCTATTTGAATATATCTTCCATTATCTCTATATAACTTACCTTATTTAAATATAATTTTTTATTATTATAGAGACATGAGTATTTCATTTATTAAAACCTAAAAGTAATTAAGTATTTACTTTGGAATTGCTTGCTATGTCGTCATGGCTTATCTTGATGACATCATTATCTGATTGTAAGGTTATGAATGTAACTAATCAAATGAATGTGAAATTATGAAGGAAATGTAAATTTGTGATTATAAATTTGAATATGTTATTTTGCTACTCATTAGTAAATTTGTGTAGTATATTGAAGATTTTTATTAAAATATTGTTCGTATTCTTAAAATGTCCCTAATTTTTTAAAATTGTTTATGAATATCCTTTATACTTTTAAAACTAAACAATTATGTAAACAATTTTAAACTCGAGGTAGTTTTTGGATTGGTTGTTAAGCATTTATGATGTAGTTTTCTAAAGTATTTTAAATATTACATTAAAAATGTTAACTTTGAACGCACTATGTACTTTGCGATACATTATTTTATGTTGGCAAAACTTCAATATAAATCCCTGATGTTTTGGCTTGGCTTGATTTCATTTGAATGTTTGAAACTCATCAATAGAAGTCCTTAATATTTACTCTGTAATCAAATTTGGTCCTTTTTTATTTTTTTATTAAATTTTGCTGATGTGGCATGACTTTTTGGTTATGTCTATTTGAAAAAATTGCTTTCACCCCCTGCTTTTTGAAAATCAAGCTTTGCCCCACAAGTCAAATTTAAAATATTTTACCCCTCTAAACATTTAACTCACATCGTCAAGCCCCCCTCTCCCCAATAATATTTTCAGTTATCCCAAAAATACCCTTTAATTTTTCATATTCTAAAATTAGTCCTCAAATCATGGAAATTGTTATTAGGTACCTCAATTCAAAAGGTATTTTGAAATTAGTTCTCAAATCATTAAAATTGCTATTAGGTCCCCTAATTCTTAAGTTATTTTGAAATTCATCCCTCCAATCAATAGTAAAATTAGCTTTTAGAGAATTTAGTCTCTCAAATCATCTAAACTTCTATTAGGGCACATAATTCACAAAAGTTGGTTCAAGCTAATCCCTTTGATTGCTAATTTTACTATTGATTTGATGTACTAATTTCAAAATAGCTTAAGGGACCTAATAGCAATTTTAATGATTTGAGGAACTAATTTCAAAATGCCTTATAAATTGAGGGGCCCAATAGCAATTTCCATGATTTGAAAGACTAATTATAAAATATGGACAATTAAAGAGCATTTTCAGGATAACTGAAAATTTTGTTGGGGAGAGGGGATTTGACAATGTGAATTAATGTTTAGAGGGGTAAAATCTTTTAAATTTTCACTTGCAGGGCGAAGCTTGATTTCCAAAAACCAGGAGGTTGGATGCAATTTTTCCAAACAAAAACAATCAAAAAAAGTCATGCCACATCAGCAACTGTTAATAGAAAAAAATAAAAAAGGACCAAATTTGATAATAGGATAAACGTTAAGAACCTCTGTTGATAAGTTTCAAAAGTTAAGGACCCAAATGAAATCTAGCTATAACATTAGGGACCTATATTGAACTTTTACTTTTTGTGTTTTATGCTTTTGGGAGGTGAGTGTTACCTTATGCGTTTTCGCTATTTTCAACATTGTTCAAGTAAGTCACTTGACTCCGGGACACAATAGTATGCTAGTAATTAGTTGCAGTTTACTAAACTGTAATCTAGTTCCCAAAGTTAGGTAATAAGTCTATGCAAATTTATGTGGAAAAAGTTAAAAACTAAAATTAAAAAAAAACGTGTTTCACAATGTAGGTAACTGATGTTTGCAAATGACCTAAAATAAAAACTTGAGATAGGCAACTTACTATTAATAGTATTAGGGGCGGATCCAAGTGGTGCCCGGGGAGGACAGCTGCACCCTTAGAGATCTTACTTTTGTAGATCATGTTAAGAGCTTTCCGAAAACATATTATAATAGTGATTCCGATAACCAAGTCAAAAGTTATAGCCCGTGCAAGATTTAGCATTTGTGCATGTTTCCAGCTTGCTGCTAATCATTTTGACATTGTCTTGTTAAAACATTCATACCACAAGTTATACATTTCTGAATTGAGTTCTGTTTATTTCTATAAATAGATACTTGTAGTTTGCCCCCCTCCCTAACACCCCCAAGAAAAATTTTCTGGATCCGCCATTGAATAGTATCCAAGATGCATATGTTTTTATAGACCAAAATTAGAATTTATTACCAAATTGAAAATCTACTCTTGAATGTGATGTCATCCACATTTATAAGCTAGAAATAGCAGTTTCCAATGATTTTAACGTGATTTTAATCATGTAGAGATGGATGTCTCCAATCATTTTGACGTGATTTTAATCATGTATCACAGGATAAAAAATTATTTGATTTTAGGACAAATTTTCAAAACCACTATATTTGAACATTTAATCCCAAAAAACGACTTATTTTAAACTTATTTGCAAAAACCGACCTGGTTTCAGCATTGTCACTGAAACCAGGTCGGTTTTGATGAAAAAACTTCCGAAACTTCACGGGAGTTGAACTCCCGTGAAGTTTAGTAAAGCTGCTAAACTTCACGGGAGTTGAACTCCCGTGAAGTTTCGTAGTTCAAAAATTTTTAAACTAGGAAACTTCACAGGAGTTCAGAAATTTTTGAACTAGGAAACTTCACGGGAGTTAAACTCCCGTGAAGTTTCGAATTTTTTTTTCAAAAACCGACATGGTTTCAGTGTAAGAGCTGAAACCAGGTCGGTTTTTGAAAATAAGTTCAAAACAAGTCTTTTTTGGGGATTAAATCTGGAAATATGTTGGTTTTGAAAATTCGTCCTTTGATTTTATGAAATGCTAAAACATTAGTAAAATATATTAGAATCACCCAAGATTTTATTTCTAAAAGTAGATGACTGCAGCGAATCATATCAAACGGCCCAAATTTTCAATTTGAGAATCTAAATTTTAACTTCGAATATACAGTTACTCAATGTACAGTATCCGCAACTAGAATACTATTAACGGTAGTCTAGCTCCCCCACTGAAATAAATACATCTTCTAGCGGTGTCAAAGCCAATCAGGCCCGGCTGGTTCCCATAGTGCAACAAAACCACTATTATTCCGCTCGTTAACAAAAGTATCCATAAAAAATGGCCACTACAGTAACACGTCATCAATGCATCCAGGCCCCAGTCCCATCTCCCAACAAGGGGAGGAAAAACAAACTAAATCAAATAAAAAAACCAAAAAAAATAAAAATAAAACAGAAACCAAACCTGCGAACTCGAAGAAGAAGGAAACGTAGTTCCATCGGGCAAAACGACCCAACCCGCTTCCCTCGCTAACGCCGCGATGACGTCGTTAATGTCCGCCCTCACCCGAAGGTTGTAATTCCCGTGACGGCGGAGCCCCGTTAAGATCCGCGCCGTTATCGCCCTCCGGTGGCGTTCTCGTAATTTCGTCCTCTCCTTCTCCTCCTTCGGCCGCCCG